AATTTATTTTCACTATTGGTAAGTAACCATTTTTCATTTTTAACATGCTGATAATATTAAGCCAGAAATGTGTATATATTAAAAATAAATGTGCAAGATTAATTACTGCTGGCCATTGAGATGTTAATTTCGCACGTCTATTTAATCAATGTAGACCCGCGGTATTGAGATGTGCGCGTAGTTAAGACAACAATCAATACATTATAGTGACCGATAAGATGTCTTACTTAATTATAGTTGAATGATGCACCGCTGACAATCGCCCATGACAACCATCATGCTGGTGCAGAAATTTTTGGTGATGGCCCTTACGTCATGTTACTTTTCACTGAAGTAGACATACGAGTCCTCTGGGAGTCCGATGATAAAAGAACAACTATCACAGTGGGAGATGAGAAGCTGTCTTTGTGTGGATTGTTGGCATATGGAAGTGGAAAAACTTCCGACAAAGTGGAGAAATTACCACAGAATACTATTAATGAATGGATAGTGTCGGCAAGGTGATATCACAATCATATGTCTCGATATAGCATGCAAATTAAATAAATCAATCACATGGTCATCAATGTTGAAGTGAACACGTTCTACAAAAGTAATGGTTCGAATAATATGCATTTGTTCTTTAAAAAATATTATGTGTGTTTTTTTACAGTTGTAAAGAAGAGAAATAACTACGGTAACCACTCTTTTTAGACACAATATGGCACATACGAGATGTTTAGTTTGATAAGTGGCATATTAGTTAGTGTTAAATCGAAGTTACCTAAGAATCATATGAATATTCTCTTATAATCCATAAGCTAATTTACGGAATTTACCTGCTCCATTTAAGAAGCAGGCACATCTAACACTATATTACGTATATTAGGTCAATTCAAATAAAGGTTCGAACCTTATGCAGCAATGCTAGTTTGGTTGTCAAATGTGTCAGGCGTAAATAATATTTATTACTCAAGCGAAGTTGCTGAGCTCATTATCATTCAAAGTGGTTAGCCTAAAATGATCAGAAATGAGCCTTAAACGACTCCACCCAACATTACGTGCGTCCCCGATTTATTCGACCGAAGCCTCAACATTAATCCTTGGCAGATTTCACACGTCCTCAAACGATTGTGAGCCACAACTGCCTCAGCACAAAGACTGTTGTGCGATACAAGGGAATGTAAAGGGAAAAGTATTGTAGTGTTACCACTGTGTAATTTAAATATATCTGCATTAACATTCACTATTAAGGACAATATGGGAGTAGAAGCAAGGCTGGGCACATTTTGCATAATAGTAGTTAGTTAGAATTACCACACATTGTGGGATATCGAAATATGGATGATAAACAACAAGTGATATTTCCAGAGATATAGTTAGAATTGAAGCAAAGGAGTGGCCTATTAACCCATAAAACATACTCGCACAAATTCGTACATATCATCCTGTATTGTTGTGTGCAGAGCAAAGGGTTTCTTTATTACAGGAAATATTTATGAACAATAAAACCTGAAATTCAGAAAAACTATGAACAATAAATAATGAAAATCTATGATTTTCTGTACTGTTTCCAAAAAGATAAAAACTGAACCATAAAATTTATAAAAAGCACAGTGCTGAAATATAATCTTACACTCGCATACGAGTCTTCAACATGTACAGTTTGGTGACATGGGTCAAATTTTGTATACTAATGTGCGGGGTCATTAATTAAATAATAACAATATTATATACACAATTACACATTCTCCGGGGGATTGGCATTGGTTACAAATGTTTAAGAAAAAATATAAGGTTAAAAAAATACAAAAATACAAAAAACTAAGCTAATACATTACAGAGAAGAAGAATATTAAGACTAATTTATTACTACCTTATACTAAAATATATTTGGAAATTTAGAGTACTAACAAATTCCCACTTCCGGTCCGGTTAGACTTAAAATACACCACGAGTATTCACTTTTGAGATATAATTTCTGGCATTTGTTGGTTCTTGGATATTTAAGCTGTCTCGTCCTGTACTTTGTTTGGTGATTCGAACTTTCCAGTTTGCGTAAAAAGGGAGAGTTTCGCGATTTCGACATCGACAATGCCTTGGTTTCATTATTTGCTGAGGTATGTGCTCTGTAAAATCAAATCGACGTATTCCATTCCCAATCAACAATGGTATATTCCTCCATTTTATGCCATGACTCGAAACAGTCTTTTTTTCTTGACGTGTTCATTTGCCTTCAATAACGTTTCAGTGGCTGTCACTGTCGTATTTTGAATCTTGCCGATAACATTTTGGTTCAAATTTACGTAGCTATCACCGAAAAAACAAATTTTCAACTAACATACCGGAAGTTTCCGTGTCGCATTAAATTGCGTTCACCATGCTAGGCAATCAAAAATGTATTTGCACTAAAGTACGTTGAAGATATGTTCTTTATCATGATAGCATAACGTTTACTAAAATTGAAGTATGATTGGGTCGCAGTAGTACACTGCCGCCTCTAATAAATAAGCTATATTACCGCTGGGCTGAATCAATGATATATCACCCAACAAAATGGATGATTGGGCGGAAATCGTTTGTTTTTGTTTTTTGACCCCAACATTTTTCGCTCAGAAAGCCATTCACGCTAAATTTTGATTCACTGGGCGCCACTAATAAATAACCTATCTAAGCGCTAGGCTGAATCATTCATATCGCCAAATAAACATGGAAGAATGGGCGAACATTCGAAACATTCGTCGTCGATATTGCATTACTTGTATTACATTGCGTTTTTAGAGTCCTTCAATTTTGTTTCAAAGACTGCAGTCGCACAGAGATAACCAGAACGTTGAAAACGTAGTCGTGAAATTCACGTGCAGTAAGATACGTTTTCGGATTCCCTCATATTTGTTTTGACCTTTGTCAACTATTTCCACATCAAAGTGAATTACAGCATTAAGATTTGTTCCCCGGGAATCTTCGCTGGTATTTTCGCTCGGAAACATAAGGGCCATAAAACTTGATTTCCAAGGACGCAGGTCGTCTCCATCGAACGATTTCTCTTGTTTCAAGTTCGTTGTATGTCTAGAAACATGGCCACGTTGTTATTTTAGTGAATATATAGAACATGTCCTATTTAAATAAAGGATTTGGATATGCCAATGGAACAAATCCGTACTGGAACGTCTCCAGTATATTATTATTATTATTATTTTATTTCCATTTCTCTAAGGAAATATACTTCACTAACCTGGGGAAATAGGTTACAATGCATATAAAAAAGAAAGTTACAGGCGTGACTTTGATCGCCTCAATAAAATGAAATATTATAATTCATCTATTGGAGAACTCACACTAACAAATTATATCTAATCTGAAAAGCTGTGTATACAAATCTTGCAAGAATTTGGATGATTTCATGGTTATCCTGGGAAAATATATATATAAGTTTTCTGATAGGCGAAAGGAGCTCAAATTGTGGTTCAATGTAGTTAATTCGATCAAAAAGTGGTTTTCGAACATGGTTATATGCTGGACAAACTACCAGAAATGAGTCTCATCTTCAACAGCATCCATACCTATTTGGCAGGTTTCATAATATCTACCAGTCTCAATGTGTAACTTATGGCTAGAGCACCGGAGTTTAGTTAAAGCTTGTATGTGCAGGGGAACACGAACGATATCCAAATAATCCTCATAAACAATATTTGTTTTAAATTGGCGATCTACGAACATTGTCAAATAAAGCACTTTCCAACTTTTGAAATAACAATCTCTCTCTTTCTTTCCAATTAACAACGTTGTTTCATCAGTAATTTGGGAGATAAACCTATTCTCCCAAATAGTATGCACATTGTGTTTAATTAATAATTTCTTAAAAGCTAAAGCAAAAGAGGGTTTTTCTATCAGTGCCAATTTTTCAGACTCTCTATAGGCTTTGTAAACGAGTCGGTTATATGACATTTACAATACTGATTTACTATAACTGCCGCTCCATAGTTTAAAATTGGTTTAATTTTCGTGTCAAATATTTTTTGAAGTAATTTTGGGGAGATATCGTTCTTATAAAAAGTCCTCTACTCTCCGAAAGTTGACAATGGCACTAGCCCAAAATGGACTTCTTTTTGAACACGTCTTTAAAGTTAAATCAGTGTTGAGGTACTGCGATGTAATCGATAATGTTGACGTCGCCGTACGTAAAAACACGCTCTCGAAACAGTCAATCACACGAAAGTTTTACACATCATAACACAATTGATTAATCGTCACTATATTAGGAAAACTACTATCATATCGTCAACGTCAGTTTATATTTATGGGCGCTAATGGTCTTGCAATCACATTCCACAGTTGACATCAATATACATCATTAGTTCTGGACTAAGACCAATATGCCGTGTAAGCTTGAGAGTCACAAGCTCATGAGAACGTGTCGACGGATCTCAGCCAGTCCTGCCATCTGGCCTCATCATTCAACCTTTATCAGTAAATGTCATGGCAACCACCATTAAGCAGAAATATAAATCAAATTCTGCTTATGCACTCCGGGCATAATGTTCCCATGTCAAAGATGTTGTCACACTTATATTCCACACGTCAAATACATCAATACTCATCATGCAAATAAACACACACAATTATAACAAAATGTTTAGTTTCAAATGAGTAAAAACAATGATTAAATACAATTACTATACGTCTAATACAATGGTTATAATTCCAAATACAATGGTTATAATTCTAAATATAATGGTTATACATTCAAACACAACGGATATAATTTTAAATACAATGGTTATAATTTCAAATGTCCTACTCTACCAAGGAGAGCACTTCACTTGTTACCTAAATATTCAGCATTTGGTTCCCTACCTAATGCATATCAGTAATATCTCTTTGAATTTTGGTATAGACCTCAGACAATCCCACTAGAAATCTGTAATAATTCCCTACACCTTCTACAGCTGTGCATAAACTATCTTTCTATTTTGGTACCTTAACGGCCTTGGGCAAAAGAATCACACGTTCCTCATTATGTAGTTTGTATTTCAAAGCACCCCATACAATGTTTAACACAGGCGTGAATATGCCCCGCTCGATGGTAAAATTTCCATTTACGGGTCGTTTTTCAAAGGCCAATTGACTCAGAGACACGTACAGGGTCATGACATTTATTAAGACATACAGCAGTACAGGGCAACTTAGGCGCCCGATACACTATAGAGTGGTTACGATAACATTTATACAACCGAATAATCGCCAATGTCAATAAGAATCCTGAACACAATAAAATTAGAATTAAGGTTTCGTTTAGAAGTTGGATCACGGAACTCTTCAAATCTCACAAGGGATGGTCCGTAATTAACTCATCTACTGGCAAATATAACGTTTTAGCCCGGGCCCTGGGAATGGTTGCAATCAATATACTCAAAGTTCTCACCTTACAAATTGTATATACTGAGAGAATCAGCGATCCAGTACATATAATAGCCAGAATGGTTTCAATTATAGTAATAGATTTGACCTCCAAAAATGGCAAGACAGGAATTTCATCATTTCTCGCTAAATATTTTGTCCGCGATAGAATAATAAATTCGTTTGTTTTTCTTCAATAAATCCGCCGTCCTGTTTAAATCCACTACCAAATGTGCGTCAGAACGTACAATCTCAAATTTCCCCTATTAATGGTTGTATTAGAGAGCTGCACTCGCCACGAATTCTCGTACATTGATTCTCCTGTAATTTCTATCAAGTCTTCTGGGTCATAAAAGGGTAGTAAAAATAGCAAATTTACCGGAAGCAGAAACGTGGAGGCCTCGTCTTCTGTGCAACTAGTCAAAAACGGTGGTATATAAAAATTATCTGACTGTATAGCCCATCCACATGGCAATTTAATTATACACATTGTTCAACATTCAATAGGCTCTGGGCTTCTATCC